GGCATATCTATCGTATCGGACCAAATTCAAAATGATGCTTGCCACTTATGTTAATTTATTATTTTTTAAGATATTTCAATTAAAACAGAGTTCATTCCCTAACAAATACTATATAAAGGACTGTTTACAGCTTCCAAGTAAAACGAAAAACTCAAATAAAAAAACGCACAAGAAATGGTAAAGAAATTTTCTACTATGAAAATTTCTTAAATCAGCTTGCAGCTCTCAAGAAAAAAATATTAGGATATCTAATTCTTCAAGAAAATTTACAGCAAAAACTTAGAATCCAGCTCTTAAGAAATAATGTTCATTATTTCTTTTACTTTAAAAAGCACTTTGCCTTTGCTGTAAATTTTCTTGAAGAAACAAATATACGAGCATTTTTTTCTTGAGAGCTGCAAACTGATTTAAGAAATTTTGATAGAAGAAAATTTCTTTCCCATTTCTTGTGCGTCATTTTATATGAATTTTTCGTTTGTTTTGAGAGCTGGAAGTAGGTAAAAGCAAGGTACATTATCAACCAAAAGAAAAAATGAAAACTACTTCTTAAGTGCTGCAAACAGCCTTAAACCTGAGCTTCAAATTTTGTAGAGCACTGAAATAAAAATTCATCAAAATTTCAAACTTTTTTCTCAGAAGTGTTTATAGACCATTTAATTTTAGTGTAATAATGTGCAAATTTAAAGTGACTAAAATTACCGTTCAATTTTTAAAATTTTTTTGCCGAACGTGTTGCGGGAGCACTTAAAAGGGGAAAATTATAAGCAAAATTGTAAATGGGATACGAAAAATTTAGGTACTTAGTCGAGTTGGGTAACTAAGCGGGGACGCATATATAGAGCTCGCATTAAAATACTGATTGACTGTCAACCTGTTCGAATGTGTTTTTTTGTCGCTACGCCGAGAAATTAATAATTCACGTAAAGCAAAGAAAAAAAGAACAAAACCAACGCGAAAAGACAATACTAGGCATAAATAAGCTTTCTGCTTATTTGCTTATAATTATAAACTACTTTTTCCGAATTTTTGCAATGCCGCGAGAAATTCATCTAAATGTGCCAACATGCAATAAAATAAAAGCAGCTCCGGCCCACCGCGCTTACCGAATAGTGAAATAAGTACCAAGTGCGGTGAAATAAATCTTTCCGCAACAGAGCATTCAGCTGATCGACGAAATGCGTACTTTTCGTTCGTTTCCCCAACAAACAATGCTGATCGCGATTAATCGTTCTCCCCCTCCCCCAAACCTCGTGCATTACATCTTGGCATGCACAGTCGCCAATGTCTCTGGTAGACCAAGTTGTTCTAACGCAACAACAAAGCACTAGCTTAGCAACAAGCACAGTAACAATGGTGAGCGCAGCTCTCACAACAACGACGTCAACCACGCCTTCAGCAAGAACAGCGGTTTCACAACGCAGTTCACCCACACCCGCACAAACCAGTCCAAGTCAAGCAACGCAGCGCAGCGCAAGTTGACCTACTTAATCCAACAACCCGTACAATGACTCAAATGGGTATTGATAGGTACATCCAAGTCAAACGAACATTAAGCCCACAACAGCAAATATATGCAAATCCGTCAAAAATTGCAAAAACGAAAACAACTGACATTAACCGTCTACTGGGAAATAGGTTTGCGCGATTCTGGACAATGAATGTGACAAAGAGCCGAATGAAGTTTCCAAAGCCAAACTCAAACCGCCCCTAATTATTTACGAGAGCAAAACTGTAATGAGCTCGTGAATAAATTAATTCAGCTTATTGCAGACAATACGTTCCACGTAACGGCAATTACCAAGGGCAACATTAAAGAGACGAAACTTCAGATTCTAACTGAAGAAAATTACCGGTTGGTAACCAAACACCTTAATGACGATAAGAAAAACTTCTATAAGTACCAGCTCCAAAGCAGCAAAGGACTGCAAGTAGTAATAAAAGGTATAGAATTAAGTGTACCCATTAGTGATATTTCTCATGATCTAGAGAAGGCAGGATTTGCTGTTAAAAATATTGTCAATATTATCA